AAGGGGCTGCAGCCCCCCTCCACCACCATGAACCTGCTCCCAGGCACTTGGGAAGCACAGAGTCCCCCCCCAAACCAGCCACTGCGTCTCAGAGAGGATTTCAGCTGTGCCCACTCCCACCAGCCCAGAGAGCCCACGGATCCCGGCCCTGCTGCTTTCCCATGGAGGGATTCAAAGCACAGCCTTTCAGCTTCCCCCAGGTCATGAGCTGACTCTGTCTGAGAGCAAGGGCATGAGTCTGTGAGGAAGAAAGCAAAAAAAAACCCATCACCCTCCATTTCCAGGCTGTGAATTTGCATTTCAGAACATTTGGACACATTAGTTGGAGGGGAACAAAAAAAAAAAAAAAAAAACAAAACAAAACAAACACCCACAACAAAACAAAGCAACAAAATCCTAAACAATGTGTTGGTGAAACTGAAAGTGCAACCTTCAGCTTCAGGGGGTGCAGGAGGTACCCCAGCGATGCTCTGAAGGACTTCACCTGCCACCCTGGGCACTACCAGCCGGTCATGGCTGCCGAGCTGAGGAAGGCGGGATGTTCCCAGCCCTGCTCAGCCTGGTGCCTCAGCACAGCACATTTCCCTGGTAGAGGGTCCTGCCCTACCCTGCAGCAGAGCTGGCATCTCCTCCTCCCCAGGGCAGCCCAGCTGCCCAGCACCCTGCAGGTGGGCTCGCCCTTCCCTGGCCAAGCAGGGTGGTCCAGAGGCGAGGGGCTTGGGCTGCCTCAGTTTCCCCCCCCGCTGCGGTTTGTGCGTGAGGAGGAAGGTGTGCAGGACAGCCGTATCCCCGCAGCACGGGGAGCAGGGCCCGCTTACACGGGGAATCTTTGGGTGTGAGAAAGCAAAGGTATCTCTGTCCCAGCTGGAGGGCTGGAAAATTAACATGAGCAATGGAGGGCAACACTTCTATCTGATTGACTGAAGAGGCGTATTCAGAAGAGTCTGATTAACAAACAGCATTTTCTGACTTTAAATTCCTTATGATTCTTAAAGATTACATTAAAGAGTGAAGTTATTTTGCCTATAGTAACGCTGCAAAAAAAAGTTAATTTTTACCAACACTAACGATGTACAAAGTTTCCAGAAAATAAATCCAAGATCCACAGAAAACACAGTGTAGCCACTGGCAAAATCTTAATATTCTTAAGTCCTTCATCATTAGTCAGTCTGCTCTTGTGTTTAAGTTACATTCTTCTTTTTGCTAAGCCCTGTTGCATCAGTGACAGGAAAGTTCACACAAACTATCAAGGAGGAGGAAGCAGCAACTCATCTGCTCAGTAAGTGTCAGCAATAGACAATATGCCAACTGCTGATAAACCACAGTGGTCTCAGACCAGTTCTTTCAGGTGCAACTATTTTGCTTCCAAGAGCAAAGCTAAACAGATTGCAAAACATAGCTTCTATGAAAAGGTCAAGTTTCTTGACACTTTTAATACCCCTCACAGCATCTCTTTTACTAATGTGCAAGGCAAGTTACTTGGACTACACTAGCATCACTCCAAAAGCAAAACTATCTCAACTGTACAAAATTCACTCAGCTCTCCACCCACCAATAACTTGGGCAAGGGTAAAAAAAATGGCATTGAGAAATTGCCCCATGATATACGGAAGTATAAGGGGATGACATGCTTCAGAGCATAAACACATTAATTGGCTAATAGATGTGAATAATCTAGAAGGTCTTAATGCTCTCCTATGCACAATTCAAAGTGAAGTCACTCAAATTTATATCTTGATCATTATCATCTTGGGGGGGGGAAGGGGGAAGACATGCCTAATCATTTCCCCACTGCCACAGTAAATAGCTTTTTTTTTAAATGCCCCTTTTTGAATGAAAGTAATCTTCTTGCTCAAATTTGCATAAATATTACAGAAAAGGCAAACTGGGTATAGACCCCATAGCATAAGGTCAGGCACAACAGTACAAGTCTCTTCCCACGTCAGTGATGGCTGAGGTTGGAAGCTCCGCGAGGTTGCTGCAAGCAACCGTCCTCCCTAAACACAGGGCATGGAAACCAGGCTGCCACATCCCAGGTCTCCTCCGATGGAACAGAAAAAGCGGAAGGGAGGAAATAAAGAAAAAAACGAGCTCTGAGGGATTGCAAGGTCGTGCCGCCCTCTTGTGACCACCCGGACATTTTGGCCTTCTCCAGCCAAAAAGCAGAGCACCCTGGAGCAGGGTTGGCCACATCCCTGCTGCCAGAGCCTTCAAGGGAAGGCTCCTCGGCCAAGGTGCCCGGCTGCTGCAGGAGAGCCCAGGCTGTCACCCCACAGCACAAGAGCAGGGACCTACTTCAGGTGACTGCCTCAAATTGCAGTAGGGGTCAGGAATGGCTTTTAATTGCCATTCATTTATCAAGGCTGCCTTCCTACCCAGTTTCTGTTCCCTCTTTACCCATGATGTATTTAGTCCCTTCCTATTTTAATCACGCGCACCGAGCCCCGGTAAACACCGCTTGCGCAGGGTTGGGACAATTAGGTTACCGAGACCTTCCTCCCCTGAAGATGCCTGCATTGACCCTGATTTAGGGGTCAGCCAGATCAGCCGTTTGTTACCCCGTGCAGAGTCTGGGAGCAGACGGGAGTACAGGCAAGGTTGAAGCACGAGGAAACTGATGTCACGGCTCAGCTTCGGTGGGTGCTGGCACGCGTGCCTGACGGGTCCCCTCCGGGGCAGAGCCCGCTCGCTGCCGGGCCAGGGAGAAGCGCTGGGCAGAGACCTGGGAGGTTCCCCCCTTCTGTCCTGCTGCTGTTGCCACTGCACAGCTCCCTGTCCATGTCTCATCCCTGCGGAACGTGGGCATTACTGGCACTTGGGCCGCTCTCTCACGGACCTGGAAGAACTCCAGGGCATTTCTTTTTTCCTTCCCAGGATGGAGAAGTGCTGATCCCTTAGAGCACCGCCCGGCATAGGACAACAGCCCAACATACACAGACCAAATGCTCCCTCTGGTCCTTGATCCAAGAAAACACCAGCACAACTGGCTAGAACATAGGAAAATTAAATGCTTACATGCACCTGTAATAGCAGCAACCCTCCTCTAACAGAGGAAAAAATGATTTCTACCTCACCCTGGTGTTTCTACCAGGGGCTGCCCCCCACCCACGCAGCCAGGCCTGGGGAGCTCCTCACCACAAGTACAGCACGCACCGTACTTCCAATCCACACATAACATTGCCCACATGCCTTTCAGTGCCTTTTAATTTATAAATTTTAAAGATAAAACAAATAAATTTTTTTCATTGGTATTAAATAGATCAAAAGTAAATTCAGATTCAAACACATACAACAACTTCAGCTGATCAACAGTATTAAAAAAATCTTAGTAGGAAAGAAAGACTGGTTTATGCATCAGAAAAATCATCCACTTTACAGAAAAGTTAAAACACTTCATTAAAGGCAAGACATCTGCTTTTCTCCTTGCTACTCTTCCCTCAGCTGGCTTTAAACAAGGAGGAAACTTTTTCCCCTTGAAAAGCATGACAATTGGAGTTATCACATACATTTTCATAACAAATTAAAAATACGTGTTGTGGTTAGAAGGCTTGCTTACCTGCATCCAATTTTTGAAGGAATGCATTCTCTAACTGGCTTAACAAGACAACATACCATTCATTGAACAGGCACTCTCAGTACTCTCATGTAATATCATTTTAAAGGACTATCATCAACATGAATTCTGGGCAGTTTGCAAATATCAAATAAGCTCAAGGTATTTTGCTTGCCTAAACCTGAAACTTTTCAATCGTGCTTTAATGTGCCCATATCTAGTTCGCTTTGGAAACCACCTGTTTGCTGAGGGGCAAGCCGATTCAATAAAAGCAGTGGCTCTACTGAACATCAAAGTTTGGCTGAGGAACAAATTCCAGTTTCAGCTTAATTTTTTCAAGTCACATAAGACAGTTAATCTTCAATCAATCAATCCAATGCTCATTTCCACTGGTGCTCATCACTTGCTCTCTCTGCCTTTCTAAGCAATTATATACTACTTATAAAAAGCTCTATGATTTTCAATAGATTAGCATCTTCGAGTTGAAAGGCCAAGCCACTCTTAGTGAAGCTCTTCCAGAACTGATTATAACATTATGGTGGGGAATTTATTTTTGACAAGATATACTGTGTGCTTTTAAGTGTCCTGGCGTGAAGCACATCTTACATGACAGAAAGCAGAGAAAAATTAGGTGATCAGGCAGTAAGTTACAGAAACTAGAATTCCTGGCCAAGGACATCAACATCCTCTACTCTCCGTTAGAGGAAACAATTAAAAACCCCACCATCCATAAGACATGTAACTTTATTCAACTGGAGGCATGGAAACTCAGAAAATCTAGTTTCCTACCTGCATTCTGCCAGCTAAAACCTTAAGGCAAGTTCCATCTTTAGTGGTATAAACCCACTTAAAGATCTTACTGCTTTAGAAGATGATAGCTTCCACAGTAAAGAAGGATTGCCATGAGTCAAAAAACAAAAAAAAAAATCCCACCTTCACCATACAACCACTATACTTTTGCCTATTCTTTCATATTAAAAACACCTCTCAACTAAAAACTTCAGTAACCAGTTGAAAAGTAAATCCAGTTAATATAATTTTCTTTTCCCTTGTATAGGCCAAGAGCAACGATACAGAACAAACTATCATAAGACTTATCTACGTCAAAAACAAGTATGGAAAAAGCTGGGATTTTAATTCCTCTTAAAAATAATTTTCCTTGTTTTCAAAATGATCCTGGATCAATTTACACTCCAATTATCTTTCAGATATAATATCAGCTTGAGTCACGAGACACTACAGAGACAGAATTCCAAGGCTTCCTCTAGCAGTACAGTTAAATTCTTGTGCTGTAGTAGGAAAGGAAGGTTTGGCTCAAAGCATCCCACTGCAGCCATCAATATCTTTACTATCTATTGCCCTTGAATATTTCTTTCCAGCTTCATAAAGCTAAACTAAGGTTTAAATGAATGGAAAAGTGCGCACTTGAAAGAGAAATTGCATGCTGTACCAGTCATAATTTAATGGAAGTTTAAAAACTGTCCATTTCCATGGTATACCCATGTCTACAAAATGCTGCAGCTCCTCTTGCAGCACCTTGGAACAGCCACGGACGGAGGCGCAAGGCAGGGAGCAAGAACAGCCATCAGCTTCACACGTACTCGTCAGTAACGACTGTTCCGCAGCAAAGCGGGGTCCCTGCTGAGAGCAACTCATTTTTCCTTCCCGACTTCTCCACAGTCCCAGAAATGCAAAAATGTACTTTTAATTAGCATATTTAGAAATTTCCATCCCAACTATCAAATACTTATAGTGTTTATAGCAGAAACTGCACTTATATATAAATATAAATTAGGTGTATTTACACCTCAGCAGGACCCACATACATCAACTTCAGATCTATCTGCATTACTACAGGAAAAAGGAAATATGATGCTCATTTCCAGGAAAAGTGACATTTTAACAGCAGCTTTTTCACCTCCAGATGTTACAAAGCTCCCCCCTTGAATTGCTTACTGAAAATAAGGGGCAACATAAATAGTTTCTGTACAGTTTTCAAAAAGCAATTCTACAGGTTGCAATCCCCATGCTGAAATATAAATTACACACTTGTACACCTGTATATGGTTTTCCAGGCAAGGTACATAAGTGCACCTACAGGGAATTGGAGGAGAAAGCCTCCTCCTCTTTTACGAAAGTATTAAGAAAAAAAGAAAAAACAAAACAAAAAAAAAAAACAAACAAACAAACAAACAAAAAAAAAAACAAAAAAACCCCAAAAAAAAATAAAAAAAAAAACAAAAAACCCCACACTATAGAAAAGGTTCTCACATCTCATTATAAGTACAGAGAAACAGTATGCTAATTTGTATGCATTATGTTGAAATGCTGTCCAGGTAAATGAAAGTCACATACAAGCAATTAAGACCGGAATTCATTCCTACTTCATAACAGCCACCACCTTCATCATGATTTATTTTCCCTCCTCCGACCCATTTTAAAACTTTTGGGCACAAGTCCTGGTGGGGTACGTTAGCACCCAAGCATCCTGCATATCAAAACCTCAAAACCACAACTCACTTCAAACAACCTTTTTTTTTTTTTTTAAAAAAACATATATATACACTTTCCTTGGTACTCTCCAGACAACTTTCCATTCTCAATATGCAGAGTGATAGCTAAGCCCCTGTTGCAAACCAGTTGTGACTGTTTCTCCATGACTTCTAACTCTCTAATCTATGGTCACATGGAATGATCTGTAACTATCCAGTGTAAACACACTCCCTCTCATGAGATACATGGATTAGTCAGTGTAACTATGGTGTTGAAGGCATTTGGCTGAAACACTCTTTCTTGACATATGAAGGGATGAAACAAATATGCAATACAGGAGTGTGAGCAAAGGCAGTTCCCTTCCACCCAGCTCCAATTAACTGCAAAATGGACCCAACTTATTTTTCATTAAAATCTAATTTTAAAGTGAAAGCTCACAGTCTTATGATGCACTTTATATACATTTTACCATTCTAAGTGAATGAAAAAGGAGTCAACAACATTTCTTCCCTAACACATAACAGCAATTAAGTTCTATTATTTCATAAGGCATATTCATCTTCAGTGAGAATCCAAGCACAAGCAAGAATTCTGGCAAGTCGTGTGATCCTGTAACTTCACCTTCATCTACCCAGTGTCTTGAAATTCCAGAGTCTCCTGCTCTATTCCTCAGATAGAATAATCCCTATCACACTGGGCATTTCTTATTTAACAAAACTAAAGAGCAGGGCTAAATAAAAAACCCCTCAGCAGCTGGACCTCTGTATCTTTCAAAAAGAGGGACACACAAATGACCAATTTTTGCAGTTCTCTGGCTTTATCCCATAACCTGCCTTTTTACAATAACTATATATATAAATTAGAGAGAGATAAAGCCAATGATTAACTGCAGTGTTCATGGAAAAAACTCCCAGTCCGTATTACACAGTCTCTTCCGATTGGAGATCACTGAGGTGTGAAGGTGAGAATCATCCAGCTGATAACAAAGTAGAAGAGGAAGATGGGGTAGACAACAAGAGCTTTGCGGTTCGGAGGCTGACTGTCTGCCAGGAAAGCTGTAGATGCTGGTAAAAAAAAAAAAGACTTGAAATGTGAGCAGTGTAAAACTAAAAGTCTAAGATCTACTGCAGATGTTAACAATTTTGAATTAGGATCTGCATTACAGTTATGCTGAGAGAGAAAACAGAGTAATCCATTGCTCAATACCAGTGGTCTATACTCACCGAATAAAATTTTATCATATAGAAAGATAAATGCTGATTAACATTCTGTAATAAGAGTCAGCCTTACAGATTAAGAACAGGAGAAATAATGCAAGTGCATCTGTATGAAATTAGCATTTCCTAGTAGTATTTATAACACAGTTCACAGAATAAAATACCCAGTAGTCTCACATGGAGTTTAATATTACATTACCACCCTTCGACCAAAGGTAATTTGCATATCAGCATGAAAATCAACAGGAGCACAGGCAGAGGCTGAACCTCTGCCGACACAAAGATAGGCAGAACTATTTCTACAATACTTCAGCAACCTAGGAAACACCTTAAACTACAATATCCATTGGCTTTACCCAACAGAACGCATGCAGATCTACCTCCTTAAGCCTTGAACTACTCAGTGCACACAACAGTGTTGTGAGTGCAAAAGGTACTCACCTAATGTTGACCAACCAAACATAGCTACTACTACAATAAGACGTATAATGAAGCTGACAGTCCCAGAACCTGCCAGCAGCACCAGTCTGCACACCAGCATTGCTACTGTCAGGGGCAGGACACAGTAACCCAGAACGCACAGGCTCTGAAAAAAGGATCTGGAAAAGAGAGACATAAACAGGGAAAAAAGTAATCAAACCAAAGCATTGCAGAAACTCCATGCATAGGAGCATTTTAACTGCTACTAAATAAACCAGCACTCACATAGTTCCTCCGAGAAGCTTTGAGTTTAGTGTGATGACAACTGCACCAAACCAGATGATGACAAAGACCTCAGCAAATTGGGGCCCTCCATCATCTTTACTATCTGCTGATCCACCCTGAAGCATCCTGTTGTAGATAACAGAGAAAAGGAGTCATTTGCAACCGATGAGTGAGTTTTTGTTGACTTGGAGTAGATGACAGAATAGGAGCCCAAAACATTGATCCCCAGATAGACTGCTGACTGATCATTTTTTGTCCGTTTTCTTATTTTCAGTAGTGTCCTCAATTTTGTATAGGAAAGGAAAATGCTTGTGGCTCAATAGAGGGCATTTCAGCCCATTTGTTTACTGTTTTGAGGACTGTGTAAGCAGATAGAGAACAAACCCACAGACAACAGGCTAAAAGATGAAAATTAAGATACTAAAAGTTTGGTAACCTCTCCAACCAGGCAGTGTGGCGCATGATAAAACACGAAAGCCTTAAGGAAAGCCTTAACTACAGGACAGAAGCAATGAAAGCCTGGAAAAGTGAGCATGCATCGATTTAAATATTTAAATTACACTGTCTACTTCTGCTAAAGCTTAACCAGCATTTTACTGTGTGGTTTCTGTACAAACTACACAGGTGTGCTTCAGTTGATAGATCTCACCAACATTTCCATTCTACCCCCAGGCAGATCTGCACACACAACGCTCCAGTAGAACACCAGAAACTCCTGGGAGCCACCATCATCTCCATGTAGGAACTACTACAACAGTTTATCTTTTTCCATTGATTCTACAGGATATGCAGCACGTACACTGCAGCTCTTGGACAAAGTTTTTGGCCTGCAGGTTAGGGTCAAAGTTGGCCAAATGCATTAAAATCAAGGACAACATGAATCAGAATACCTATCAGTAAAATCATTCTTATGACAGGGGACTAGGAAGAATTCACCCTTAAATCCCAAATTTACAAACAGGAGGTCCTAATGGGCTTGAAGTGTCACAAACATGTTTTATAAGAAAATCTGAACAGGTAGTGTCTGCAGAAGACCAGAGAAGGATCAGATGAACTTGACCTTTATACATGCAATCAGAAATTTTTAATTTCTCATTTCTCCAGTGTAAAAGACTATAAAAAACACAAATCCACCCACTATAAGTACTTACAGTGCAAGTGAGACACAAAGCACCAAAGGGCCCCAAAGATCCCCTGTAAGTAAAGGAAATAATAAAATCATAAACATCATAGAATGATGCTGAGTTTCATCTTCCTGGGAGTAATAAAGCACCTTTTCCAGCTCATGATGTATCTTCTTCCATATTATACTTCCTTATAATTTTCTTATTTAGCATCTTATACCACGTTCTATAATATAATTTATTCCAAACCTGCCAACTGCTAAAGCTACCTGTTCTACATATTCTGGCACATGTTCTACTTTCAAAGACCATTGGTAACACTGATTTTTCACGTTTGCTATTCAACATTCCATAACAACAGAGAGAACGTGGAACAGACACTTCTGAACTGCCACGTTCTACTGAACCCTTCCTTTTCCCACGTAGGCAAAGTCTGTTGGCAAAACATCCTTTCAGGATTTTGCAAATCTTATACGTACAGTCTCTGAGGAGTGCACTGCTCTTCTTTGGATACATGACATGGACAAATTTCTTCCCAACAGCCTTCAGATCTCTCATCTGAAATAAAAAAAGTAACACTTTAACTTACCTCTTCATAAAAATTACTGTTCACAACTAAAAGCAGGAAGATAGAAGTAAAGGAGTATTGATGGTAAATCGAGACAGGATCCAACTCAAAAATTTCTGTAGCATCCTCTGCAACAAACAATGCCTACTTTTTCTGCGTTCCTTAACACACACAATATCATATCCTTTCATGACACCCAATTAAGAACAATAATTTGTTTACTCCTCTAGGAAAAGAAAATGAATGAAAAATCCTATTAGTCAGGAGAGCTTTCTCCCGAGATCCATCTCAAGCCTTCACCCTTGCAAAGATTTTGAGATCACAAAGAAACTCTGGGGGCGTAATTCCAGTACTTTTTGGCCCTCAAAAATTAATTTTACGTGACTAGTCCTTAAAGAAAAAAAAAAAATCACCAAACGTACAATGAAGTACAAGTCAAGTAGAGCTTGATAGTTTTTACTTAACAGTTGGGCAAAGGTATCAGCAAAACACGTGTTTTACCCTAGAGTCACAGACTCACAATAGTATCCCTAACAGGCTCATCCAGTGTAGAGTAATCTTCATCAGGAGAGTGAGATCCGACAGGAACAGTAATCTCCCCTTCCACTGGAATATCTTCAGATATTGACACATCTGCAAGACCTGCAAACTAAATAGTTTTTAAAAGCTTTAGAAAGCAAGCCAGCTCATAGTCACTTCACGGGGTTTTCAGCTGGGTTTAGGATGAAAATAACTGCTTAGAATTCACAGATACAACACTTAATAACATGGTCAACAGCAGAGCCCTTCCTGATTTAAACAGCTCACAGTCTAAAGAGGGGAGTACACATGTACAAGCAAAGCATTTCCATTTTCTTCAGTAACTCCCAGTAACCTGCTTTCTGTCCTCTATTTAGTCAGCAATAACTAAAGAAAGTAAAAAGATTGTGCTTTTCAAGTAATATAATGCCTTACAGCTGCATAGCCACACCGGTGCAGCAAAGCACGTTGTCTTTCACGAACTCCGTGGGGAGACAACTCGTGAGCAACTGGACAGACATTTACAGCCCGAGCAGAAAGCCAAGACTGTTAACAGCCGAACATTAACAGAACTGATTTCCTCCACCCAAGCCGAGAGTTAATTAAAGCACTCGAGTTCCCAGCGACAACTACAAACAGAAAACAGCCCGAGCAGTTCTATTGTAAACTCCGGGGCAGGCGGGAAGCTGCGGGGGGGAGCGGCAGGAGCCCGACCGCTCCCTGCCCACCACCGCCCGCCACGGCCTCCCAGCCGCCGCTCGCCGCGCACCCCGCCCCGGCTTCGCCGAGGGGGGGGCCGAGCGCCCCCGGCCCCCCGCACCGCGCTCGGCCGGAGCTTGGAGCTCCCGCGGCGCCGCCGAGGCCGGTCGGGCCGCGGCTCCCAATCCCGCGGCCGAACGCCGCCGCCCCTCCCGAGGCCCGTCAGGAAGCCCCGGGGCCGCCCGCCCGCTCCCGCCACCCGCAAACTTACCAACGGCCCCCCGGCACCGCTCCCCTCCGCCGCCGCCATCTTGGCTGCCCAGACGACGTGGAGGCCACGCGGACGTCATCACCCCGCGCGCCGCCGCCGCGTCATGCGCCGCCAGGGCGTCCATGGCAACGCGGGTCCCACCCCCCCACCCCCCCACCCCCCCCCCCCCGCCCCGCCGGCAGGGGGCGCCCTCGGCGCGCGCGGCCGGCAGCGCCCGGGGCGGCGGAGCCGCCCGAACCCTCCGCGGCCTCTCCGGACCCGGCCCGGCCCGGCCCGGCGGGCTGACCCCACGTCCCACCCGGGACACGTCCCCTGGGCATTAACGCGGCGGCCAGGCAGGGCGCTCACCCGAGGCCGCCCCACGCGGGGAGGGGAGAGCGGGCCCACGACGGCGGCGAGCTTTGCCCGGCGGGACCGGGCCGGGCCCGGCCCTCGCACGACTACAAGTCCCGGCAGCAGCGGGGCGGCCGGAAGCGGGGGTCGAGCGGGGCGGGGGTCGCCTCGGCCGAGCGCCCGGCCTGGCCCAGCGCGGCCCCGCGGTGCGGGGACCGGTGGCGGGGGGAGAACCGCGGGCGGGGGCAGGCCCCGCCCGCCCGATCCGCCCGGGGCAGGGCCGGGGGCGGTGCCCGCCGGGGCGGCGGCATGGCCGCGGCGCGGGGAGCCCGGGGCGGAGGGAAGGGGCCGTAACCGCGCCCGCCCCGCAGCGCGGCGGTGCCGGTGCCGGCGGCGGGAGGGAGCGGCCGCCGCGGAGCCATGGGGCACCCGCCGCTGGAGTTCAGCGACTGCTACCTGGACAGCCCCGACTTCCGAGAGCGGCTCAAGTGCTACGAGCAGGAGCTGGAGCGGACCAACAAATTCATCAAGGAGGTGATCAAGGACGGCAACGCGCTCATCGCCGCCATCCGGGGTGAGCGGGGCGGGCAGCGCCGGGGGGCTGGCGGCCTCCAGCCCCGCGGGAGCGGGGAGGGGCCGGGGGGCCGTGTCCTGGCCGTCACCGCCGGTGCCGGCGATGTGCCGGTCGGCACCGTGGTGCCGGAGGTGGTTCGGGGACGGGGCCTCTCCAAGGCTCCCCCGGGAGCAGCCGGTGCTTCTGCGCCCCGGGCTGAGCGGGATTTCTCCTTCTTGAACATCACCCGGCAGACGTTGGTTTTGGAAGCCCACCTTCGCCTTGGCTCCCCTGGAGCCTCATGCAGCCGGGCCCCGGCGCTTGGCAGCTGCCTTCGTCGCCGGCATGGCCTCGGGGCGGGCTGGCAGGCCACGGGCAGCGAGCTCTGCCACCCGCCACGCCGCGCTGTCCCGTCCATCCAGAGCTGCCCCTGCGCGGGGACAGCCCTGACCCCACCGCCCCGGTGAGCGGGGCTGGCACTGCCAGCATCGCCCAGCACCCGCGGCTGAGCTGGCTGAGCTCTCCCCAGCACCGCCTTCGATAAGGAGAATAATCTTCTGTTCGGGGAAGGTGCTTGATTGTTTTGTTTCACCAAAGAACGAGTGGAGCGTGGCCAGGGCAGCACAGGTCACCTCATCACCCAGCCCTGCTTCCTTGGGCTGACACGCTGCAAGAATGAGAGGGCTCCATCCGGGAATAGTCTTTAGTCCTTCTTTTGTTGTGGGTGGTTTATTCTTTTTTTTTAATAAATATGAGAAATTTTTTCCAATTAAATATCGATATCAGTGTTGACTTTAAAGGAGTCACTTGTTCAGAAGTACTGACTGAGACCATCAGAGGTACCTGGGCCAGGGTCTATCATCTGAAACCACACAGTCCAGTGTGTTTAATGCTTTACTGACCTATCCTCCAGCTTAGAATTTTTTTTTCCTCCAAGAGCTGTAGATACCTTTCCCCATTTTGTCTCTCACATCATCTCTGCTTTTATAAGTATGCATTAAAATATGTCCAAAAGTGTGTGACAGCATGGCAGCTATGAATGCTGTGCTTGCATGTGGCCAAATGAAGACAAAAAACATTAGCAGGGCAGAGTGTGATCATATGCTGTTTTTCTTGCCAGCTGGTTGGTTTTTATTTGGTATTAATAGGTTTAGCTGTTGCCCTTTTGTTAAGAATAATTCAGAGCTTCCTTGTTATCAAGGCCATGGCTGGAATAGCCTGTGTTTGCCCATCTGGAAAATGGTAAAAACAAAAGCAAATATGACTGAAACACCAGACATCACAGGACTATAAGACGCTAAAATGTACTACAGAAAACCTCCAAATCTCTGCTCAGTCCAGGGCAAAAAAAAAGGCAAAAAAAGAAAACCAAAGGGAATTAAACACGCCTGCTTGTTAATGTAAATACTTTGCTTTTTCTTCATGACTTTGGTCAAAACCATTTCCCTTTTTATTGTTTGTAAGCCCTAATGCTGTGCTTGGAGTAGGGATGCGAGAAGATTTTGCTGGGTCAGCAGACCCGTCTCAGTGAGACTGGTGAAGGAAGAAGGGGAGAAGTAGAAGGAAAAAGCACACCCAGACAGCACAGATAACTCCCCAGGACTGAGGAAACCCCATTTTTTTTTTTTTTTTTTTTCTGAAATGCTGCGGTTGTGGTTTTGTGCTGTTTTCTTTTTAAGGGTGCAGCTGGAGCAGCAGGCAGAGGGGTGGCCTGGCAGAGTGGGCAGGGCTGGAGATGGTGCTGAGGCTGATACCTGCCTGGGCTTCCATACGTTCCTGGGATTCACCCCCTCCTGTTTAGTTAACAGATAATCTTAAAAAAACTCTGGACCTTCCTCTGAATCCTGTCTGTATGGAACAGTGGATAGGAATCTGGGACTATTCACTGTCCATTGCCTAAACACCTTGGGCTGATGGCGGGTAAATCCTGCTTCCCGGTCTGTGACCGCGATGGCTCTTGGTTTGTTTCTAACTCCTTGGCAGCGCTGTGGGATGGATCTGTCCCTCAGCAGCTGGGAAGCAAAGGTGATGATAGTCTCTCCAGGACAGGGAGAGTGAGATTTCTTTGTCAAGGGTAGACAGTTAATTATAATGATTGTTCTTATTGGACCTGTCTGTTATCTGCCCAGAGGTCCTGTCCTCCACCTTACCCTTTTAACGAGTGAGTCACCCTCTTGGTTAAACCTTTGGCCAAACTGTTCCAAGGTATTGACTCAGTGCACTGAATACAGACCTCTGGTGCCTTTACAGATGTATATATTGTCTGTGTGTCTGCTGTTTAATTTATGAATGAACTCCTATATAAGATTTAAAGCAAATCAGTCCCCTGTTTTGCTTAGACTTGTAGAAATGTCAGACACCTGCTGTCTCCAGCTGGCGGGCTCTTCAGCCTGACATGGTGATGGAAACTGCCGAACAAAGGGCTCGGGTGCAGCACAGTCTGTCTGGATACAGGCACATGCATCCATGTGAATTATGCAAGCACAGCAATGCTTATGCGGGCTACCAAGAAAAGAAGTGCAGTTTCCCATTGCAGGAAAATAGAGTCTGTTGGGCTTTATGTGATCTGCCCCAAACACAGTCCACATAGACTTAAAAATCTGAGACTGCTTAAAGTTGCCTTTTATTTTCCATTTGCCAAGTAATAGGGGGGAAAAAGTGAGCGTGACTTTACGTGGAGTTCCGCAGGACCTTAAGTTCACGCACTGGATGAAGCCAAGTGTTTTTGAGTTGTCTGTGATACGAGAAGCGTGTATGTTGTTCTTTTCTTGGTTGCTGGCAATTTTCTTGTTGAAAGTGTCTGACCAGTTAAGGTTGTCCTAGCATACCTGCTGGATAGTAAAATATTAGGAGTGTTGTAGCAGAGTCTCTAGAGGCTAAAAAAGAAAAAAAAACACTTGATATCACTTTATTATGTCAGCAGCACAAGCTAGACATCCCACATCTAGTAAATGCTATTTTGGTGACTTCTTTTTGAGATATTTGGATGTATTTTGACTTTTTTGTAGCCCAATAAAAACTGGTAGATTAATTCACCATGATTGTATTTGTATCAAACTGAGTGCAAATTTTTTAAACAAGTCATTCAAGTAGCCTGGAATTGTAAATGCGTAATATGAAATGCTTCCAGTGGTATGTGTTTAGCTGTTAGGTGTGCTGTTTTAATTAAATGGAATGCTTGTTTTACAAATGCACGTACTCCCATTTCCCAGTTTTAAGTCTGTTTGCAGCAATAGTCAGTGATGGCGAGTGGTGAATCACTCCGAGTGTGACCTGACTGTGGTGTGCTGTGGGGAGCAGTTTTAAGGCAGCCACGTCTTTCCTCCAGACTTGTTTGCTGATGTTTATACCCAGCGGTTTTGGGGCTCACTGTGACCCGGGCCCTTCCTCAGAGGATACTTCCTGTTGACCTGCATGAAATGTTGTTTAATCCCCTTCCCTAAGTGATTCCCATGTGTGGCATGCACGTGTGGTGCAGGTGCTCAGCACTTTCTCTAGGAGATGAGTGAAGGCTCAGGGGGTCTCAGCTTATGGGTGCCCACCCATTATCCTGGAGAGAAAGAGAGCTGAGGCTCTCTTCCTGCAGGAGATGCCATAGCATGGAGATCTGCTGGAGGTTGTCCCTGCTGGGGAGTCTGTCAACGCAGCTCAGGAGCATTGCTTCCACTGTCTGCCAAACCAAAACTGCTGCTCCTGAGCTCCCAGATGGGGAGACAAGGGCAGTGGGAACCCACAGCAGGGGGGACGTGGGCCTTGGTGAGGAAATTCATCCGCTTCCAAGCTGCTGCTCCTCTGCAGGAGTCTGCCGACTTCAGCTTCCCTTGATATCTCTAATGAAAAGCTGAACTTCCCTTCCTCATCCCAGGGCAAGGCTGGAACCACAGCTGGAGCCGCGGGGTAAGTGCTTTCGCAGGCAGCAGGACTTCCCTACTTCTTGCTTCTCTGCAGGGAGAAGCAGGAGGGAGTGCTCTGCCCAGCACAGTTGTTCAGGGGCCAGCACTGGAAACCGTCCCTGGAAAGCCCAGCCTCTGTTGGGTTTGCAGCAGGGCAGAGCCAGGAGCAGCTCCTGCGTGGGTTAGCTTGGGGTGAGGAGCGAGCTGAAGGCGGGCTTCCCGCAGCAGCCATGGCTTGTGCTGCTCCAGAGCACAGGCTTCAGAGGAGGCTTGGCTGGGGGCTGCAGAAAGCCTCTCTCCAGCTGCCCCAGCCCACACGAATGGGAAGACATGTGCTTGTGGTTTTAGTC